CATGCTATTTGCCAAGTTTAAGACCCGGCTATCTAGACGATCGATCCAACGCTTTTCGTCCCGTTTGTATAGACCCCCCTTCTGAATGTGTTTTAGCTTAGTTAGTGCTAGCGAATTGACACGTTTCAAACTGTAAGGACTTGGATACGGTAGCCGCCGCGGGCGCGGCGACCTCAGGGGACTCCTGTCTCGCATCCCTCTCGTTCAGCGTGTGCTGCGTGCCCAAAAGTTGGGGCCCTGTGTGGTTTTAATGGAACTCGAATGCGTGGCGCATTCGAAGGTAATTGTCGAATCTTGTTTGTATAAGTAACTTTTTGCCAATTGGAATAAACAAAAGAACCTGTAACAAAAGCTGCAGGCAGATGGCAAGCGACCGGATAGGGACCTTGGAAAGCTGAGAAGACGATAAACGTCACCGCTTCAGAAACATAGTTCGGATGTCGACATGAGGCCCAGTAGCCGCTTCCTGGAAAATTTCAGACCTTTTTCAACCTTTTATGAAAAAAAAACAACATGCAACGAGAAAAACATAAAAATCCCAAAAGTTTGTGCTTCTTCCTGTGTAGCAAAAACAGTCATCTTTTTTCGCTTCTTTCTCCTTGAAAATCAGTTTTTTTTTCTCACCAGATTTCGTTCCGAGTTGCGTATGTGACTCATCCTTTGTTGTATTTGAATGAGCGAATTAGTCTACAAAAACGTGTTGGTACGATGTATGAGGAAAACTCGTAATCCAGAGGACGGTCAATAATTGTGACGGCCTTCTCAGTACCCTCTTTGGACCTTCCCCATCTCCACCACACTACTTCTAGGTAACTCGTCGATAATCACTTTCAATCTTGCTTTCGATATACCCTCCAAACTTTCATCTTCGTGGAGTATCTGACATCCATAACAGCAGGGGGAGGAGGGTCAGGGGGTAGGGAACTGCTGAAATAGCCATAATGCGATTGTTCTGAAATTGTTTTGAATTTCGTAGAAAGTAATCCCGACATCCCAAAAAAATTCCATTCTCTTTGTTCTCAGGCCATTCTGCTAACTTTGCCGAGTACAATCCCTCACTTCGAAAATTCACAAATATAGTTTCCCTCGTCGAAAATTTTTCACTGGTCGCAAGCTCGGTTCCGTTTCATTGGACCGTCTGGGTGTGGTGTCACACGGTGGTGGCGGGATTCCATGTGATAGTGATTACTGTACATCCATAAATAGTGGCGTTTTTCTATATAACACAAATAACTAATTAGAAAATAAAAAAAACATGAAAGAGTGGACCGCCTATTGGATAATAATACGTATCCATTTCTTGCGTGCATATCAAAAAAAAATTTGATTCACTCTGCTTAGAAGCTGGCTCGGATGTTCAAAAAGTGTTATAAAATAACTAAACAAATTTCAGGCGTTAAAAGTCTATAAAAACTAAACATTCTGACTGCGAAATCAAACAAAAAAATCTTAAGTAAATACAATGAAAAATCTCACGAAGTAAAGTCATTAGCTGACGATGTCACATTATCCGTTATATACTTGGCTGTGACTAATATAGCGATCCACTCCAGTATTTTTGATGAATCCTTTCGATCGTCTGAAATCAGCAAAATTTACATATAAATTGATTTCCGATTACTGCTGAAGTCTCCCTTAATTTTTGAACCATCTGCTCGTGCCATGATTTTTAAGCCAAGGGTATCGTTCTCAAATCTTTCGGCTTACCATTTGGAAAAAGGTAATGCTCTTTATAGATCATCTCAAGCAAACAGATGACATGAGAAATTCCAATTTTTGAAATGAATAGAGCGGATATGAGCGCAGCAGGTTGCGATGCCTGCGTTGTTATTTGTGCGACCCTGGCTCGCACGGTTCAGATCGGGCTTATAGAGGACCTTTTTGAAACAGCATACGACGCTATCTAAAAACGACTATTGCGGCCGGCTGACACGCAGTTAAGCGGCATACAGCAAACGCTGCCGCTTCGCAACCGCACGCGACCATTTTTGATTAACGCATAGCTGGCTAAACATGTAAAGAAATAGCTACCGAATTGATGCGCACTAGATAACTTATCGTTAGACTAGACCTCACTTATTTCACTTACCATGATCTTTAAATTACTCACCGGAAATCGTACTTTTGCTTATCAATAACTGTTGTCATGTATATAGAAACGAAAGCAGCAACCGTAAGCACACAGCATGATAGTAATGAGATCGATTTTTGAGTATGGGCTATTATGGAGACCGAAGAACAGTACAATACAGGAAACATAACCTGAAATTGCTATTTGAATAAGAGTGATCCGGCCTTAATAGACTCTAAACCTACCATTATCAACTCCACAACTTGGAAAAATCACAATTGAGCGGCGTTATAGACTACCAGAGTCTTAGCGCAGAATTTTCAGTCCATTGATTCCTTATGGCATGTAGGCATGTAACAAGACTGTCCGCTAATGAGGTTTCTAAAAGAGTGGGCGGCATTAGGTCAATCATCTCCACCCACTCAACGCACCACTTTGTATTTTCAGTTAAAATAACTTGATATTTTTCCATGAATATTTCTTTGGTAAAAGAGCGCAGAAATAATGAACAGTGGCCAAAGAACCAGAGTGATACGCGATCGAACGAAATGCTTGAGATCGATGTCAAGAACTGTCGGATACAGTTTCACACCGAAACAGAATTCGGATACGTAGTCACTAGGAATGTGCCAATTTACATAATCTCGCACAAATTAAGACTGGAATGTGCAATTACACACTTGGCACAAAATAGAGAAAAAAGGTTGTTAGAAAATGTATAGCAAAATCAAGAAAATTTTCGAGCATACGCAAAGTTCATAAATGGTTGTAGATGACTACTCCGGCCGCCAACGAAGGGAAGTAGCCCATCATTTTGTGTTAGGGACACGGTATATTTAATGATGGAAAAAGGGCTCAAGCCTAGGAAGTGAAGGGGCTCCGCCACTTCCATCCTCTGGGTCTTCTTTCCTCCTACTCTCGGTTGGTCTTTTTTCCTGAGAATGTACTGAATTGGAGGTTACCATAACCCCGATAATGCGGACTCCACATGAGGTACATTCTCTGTACCTCTATCCTCATTTCTTGGTATAGCTATAATCCCCGGTTTTTGTTCTGACGAAAATCAGTGATCTACTATTTGTGGGTAATAGAGTGATCTATCCGAAACATACCGTTATAGTATTCTCCCAATCGATAATTGATTAGCATGATAAGCCAGAGGGTCACACAGACGACAGCCATGCATACGATGACTGATTCAAAGTGAATAAATAGCAGATCATTGCGATAAATGCCTAGTCCACTGCCCATCACATACAGTAGGCAAAGCAGAAGACATGAACTGAAACCGTTCACCGGCTTCTTTCGATCACCTGGAAGTAATCTCATAAGTACAAGTAAAGTGCCCTCTGTTACGGAAGATGAGAAACGCCGAGTGCAGACCACACACCGCAAAAGACGCGGCCTAAAAAAATTGTCTTTCTTTTTCTTTTTTTAGCCTTCGTCACTTGTGGTGTGTGGTCTGCGCTCTCCACTTTTCGTTTTTCGAACTAGAGGATACCACCTCTGATCAGTTTCACTTTGTTAACAGCTGTTTTCATCCGCAGTCCGCGGTGTCAAGACTATCACAAGGACTTTGAGTCATGGATAAATACTTTAGCTCGATCGGGAAGTTTACGGCTCATACCGAGCCAGGTTAAGTCGCTAAGGTGTTAAGCTGCACGCAGAATTCTACCCACTACCTGGATTCGCGCACATGAGTTGACTTTAGACCAAATCCGCTGTCGCTCGTACCTATAATATTTCGCCCACACTTCTTTTCTTTCTCCACAATGCCCAGTACCTCTTGGTTCAGGGTCCGCCTCTTGAAACCCTCCGGACAGGGCCCACCGGCCGTTTTTCCATTTCCAGAAATTTGATGCCTCCTCCCTCCTAGAGCGGTCTCAATGCGACCCGCACCGTCACCATCAGCCTAAGGGGTCCCCCAATAGGACACCCCTGACCACCACCCCTCCACCATGGGGGAAGGGTGGTAAATGCATATGGGTATACAAACGGCAGATGATGGCTCCTCTTCCGCAATCAAGACCCTATCGTCTACAGTTATGACCTCCCCCCTCCTTCCTATACTCTTGCCTTTACCAATCTTCATCAATCTAAAATATGACCGCAAAAAAAAACTCAAATACGACCCTTCGCGGATTTGAGCAACGCTCCTTTTATTGTCAGGATTTCTAGGGAATTAGTCCTTTTTTTCTTGTGTATCGATTTAGTTGGTACTTATAATTTCAGTTTTCGAGAGGAATATATACCAGCAGCAGGGAAACTATAGCTCGGGTAGGCGGTATCTAGATTTCCTCGAGTCTCAGACAAATGTTAGACTTTGCGAATTTACAGCAATGCACCAACGACTGACCGCGCGCCATATCGCCAGTGCAACCTGATTCGTCAGCGGTTGGTTGTAAACTCTGAGACCTGCCTTATAGAGTGATTCTAAATAGAGTCCGCAAAGCCCGCGCAGTGCGGCATCCCATATGAACATTCCCCCTTGCTGGGATCGACAGGCTCAATAAAATCAAACAATTGCTCGATTCAGCCTCGAATGATCCTTTTATTTCACAGGCGTCCAGTGCAGATGTTTAGTCTGGGAGGTTTTTTCAATCGTTACACAAGGCGCCGCCTCGATTTCCTCGTCAGGCCGATTTCATCGTAATAATGCATGCACGGTCATAGCTTGAGTGTAAAATCGCACGCGTAAGCAGTGATGCTCACGAGGGCCACACTGACGCGAAAATGATTTATGACCCTCGGACTGTAGTTTGGCACCAATCGATCAATTATCGACAAAAAGCCACTGCTCCATGACCTGTTCATCGTTCAGTCACGACGAAAACTAATACTGAAATACATTTTGAGGCAGTGAGTACGATAAAATGGGAGCATGTATATACCTGCGGAAGCGGTACCAACGTGGCTGCGCAGGTTGCACGCGATCAGACTGCATAGCTAAGACGGGCTCGCGTTCCAAAACCGGCCCGCCCCGCCAGAATCGGTCCTGCCCCCTAGAGCGGCAACTTAAATTTTGTACATCCTACTATATATAATCGGCTAAGCGGTTGTGTGTGTGTGTGTGTGTGTGTGTGTGTGTGTGTGTGTGTGTGTGTGTGTATGTGTTTGTCTGTCTGACCGGAAATTCATAGCTCGGGCACCAGTGGTCGTCAGGAGTTGGTTTCAAGATATGATATAGGGGGTGGGACGGGAACATATTTGGTGGGGTAAAGAAAGTGATCAACAACTGATAAGGGCTGATAAAAGGCGCTAGAACGCAAGTGTCGCGAAATTCATAGCTCGGGCACCAGTGGTCGTCAGGAGTTGGTTTCAAGATATGATATAGGGGGTGGGACGGGAACATATTTGGTGGGGTAAAGAAAGTGATACAACTGATAAGGGCTGATAAAAGGCGCTAGAACGCAAGTGTCGCGAAATTCATAGCTCGGGCACCAGTGGTCGTCAGGAGTTGGTTTCAAGATATGATATAGGGGGTGGGACGGGAACATATTTGGTGGGGTAAAGAAAGTGATCACAACTGATAAGGGCTGATAAAAGGCGCTAGAACGCAAGTGTCGCGAAATTCATAGCTCGGGCACCAGTGGTCGTCAGGAGTTGGTTTCAAGATATGATATAGGGGGGGCGGGAACATATTTGGTGGGGGTCACAAAGTGATAACGACTGATATGAGCAGATAAGAGGCGCTGAAACACAATTTTCACAAAATTCATAGTGCGCTTCGCAGCAGTCGTCAGGAGCTGATTTTGGGACATGATATGAGGGTGGGACGGTAACATATTTTGTGGGGGTCACAAAAGTGATAACGACAGATGAGGACTGATAATTACGATATGCGTACGAACGTAGAGATTACTCGAAACCAGATTGCAGATAATGCATTTCATTTCAATATCATTTCATTAGCGTTATAATTGTAAATTCAAACACCTTTCAACCGCTACACCTTCTAGAGTTCTTGAGGATGAATGGGATGCTCTAATAAATTTGATAGTGAATACTGGGCATTCCGTCTTGAGATTACCAAAAATTATTCGACCGCTAAATTTCCTCGATTCTCGATGCATGGTGGTTGTTTACATACATCACTTTAGCTGTGCACTTCACTGCGCTTATCAAACAGTGAGATACAGCCAAGATGGGCAACGGACAGTAATGCATTTAACGAAGCAGCTATAGTTAAGCGGTGAAACCCAAAGCTTCACCGATTGTCAGTTTTGTCAGAGGCTTCCGTGTCATGCGCGCGGTAGCGGGCGGAGCTAAACTGGTACTTTATAATTTTTATAATAAGATGGAATTTCTAAGTTAAGCGGTCGAATCCGGTAAATATTTTCGCCTCTGTATTCCACCGGGGCATACACACCCGTTCAGGGTCGACCGTCACGTTCGCACTTTTCCGTAGATTTTGCGACCCCTGCCATCATCAGTTTTAAGAAAGGCTCTCCAATACCTCTCCCTTCTCCGATCACTGTCCTCACAATCATGGCTGTTTCCGTGGTATTTGATCTTGAGACCAGTCGACACAGCCCAACGTCCGCTTTTTCCTCCAAAACCGCCCATCAAGCGTGGGAGAGGGGCGAAGCGAGGGGGAGAAGGGGGGTTTAAGCGGCGAATCACCAACTTGGTCAATAATTCAGTATTTCATAAATCTTCCACCAAACTCCTCAAAAGCTATAGAAGTACAATCACGCATAAAGCCCCTTCATCAACCTCCATTCCACTATGACAACTGTTGATTTCAGCTCCAAAATGCGACCCACCACCCCCACTACATCGAATAGTGCGAACGGACGTTTGATTCTGCGCCCAATCGGCCAGAGTCTAACGTGTAGATGCGTCCAAGTCAAAGGAAAAAATGAGTATCGGGGAAGTTTTGCGTTTTTTTTTCGGTTTTATTTTCGTTTTATTTACACCATTTGGAAGCTCTGCAGTCGTATTGGTCATCATCGAATTATCGTAACGCTGCTAAGTTTTGCGATTCGAGCATTCTCCGGCTGTGGTATAAACGAGGCTTTATTTGCGCCCACACCGCGAATGACAGATTGGCTTTTTTAACCGGTACTTCTAAGGTAAGTAGCGTCACTATCCCTTTGCGGATAGCTTTTATTTGCCATTAGGAGAGCGTTCATTTCAGAATTAAAGCAACAATCCAGGAACGAATTCGCGGGTAAGGACCACCTATAATGACGTTGCAGGTGAGAAGTTGGTCAATGGAGAAAGAAAAAGTAGAAAAAAACGTCGGGCAGGGGCTTAGACAGGGACTCCCCCTGCCGTTTAGGGAGACGTGTGTTGGACGAGTTGTCCGAACCTGCCCGTAGTACATGCGCTCCAATTGCAACTGCTGGCAAATAGCCATGCATGCTTGCAAATACATAACTATTTGCCAGCAATCGAAATTGAAGCGCTTCAATTGCGTTCTTATGGAATCGACCTCATACAGCGCGGCGGTCCCGCAACGACCGCTAGTCGAGCAAGCGCTCTGCACAGCTGCTTGGAGGCGGCCCCACCACGGATCGGTGGATCCGCCCCTCTTGAAGGATTTCGACTGCTTCCAACGCCTTTCAGAGGTAGTTTTGAAGTTTGTGACATTTCCCATGAACTCCAATCAGGCTGAGGCATGTTTCCACCACTTGAAAACCAAATGGTTGAAACCCTGCCTGGACTGTTGCTTTAAGTTACATAGATAGACATCCACACTGATTACCAAATGTGACATTACTAGCGCTTTTCCACCGCAGACGCAGCAGTTGGATTGTACGTGAGGAAGATACTCGATGGAAATCGGGTTCAATGAAATACGCAGAGGCTATTCTCACCTCTCTGTTTCTAGTCTGTACAGTAGTACGAAATCAGGTAACAAAATTTCAAAAAAAAACTGTTCTAGCTATCTTTGCTCAAACAAGGATAATTGAGGCTGGTTAAAAATTCTAAAGTGCCCCTTGCACCCTTTCTATTAGAAACGTAGAAGCATTGGGACGGGAGAACCCTCTTTTATGATTTTTGGGGACAGTTCAGAAAAAGAGTATATGGGCGCCTTTATCCTCCTAGCGGTTATCAACAAAACCAGTAAGGAAAAGCGTCGACAGCCTAGGCCAAATTTGATCCCACGTATGTGTACAACTTGGTGGCGCCTTGCCCACCGCGCTATTCTGTCCCTAGTGCATTAATCGCATTTGAACAAACTATTGTAGCGCTACATAACTACGTGCAGCTAAAAATGCACACTAAATACAACCTCACTTACCAGTTGAGCTCAACAGGTAGACATTATCGTGTGGCAGAATCCAGTGAAGGATCAGTTGTAATGAAAGGAAAACCACTGTGAATTTCCACGCCACCACATCGAATAACAACGGCTCAACACCCGCAAATACGGGTGGTTTCGCAAGTGAGGATAGCGCCTGAAATGCATGCATGTTCCAAAGTTGTAAGGATAATTTCAACTGGCTAGAGTTGCTCTTCAA